CACTGTGTCCATAACAAAGTAAGGAGATCTCTGTTTTTGCTGTCTGGCGTCCTGGCAGCTTGGCACATGGCAGAGTGACCATGCACTGGTCCATAAATGTCTTTGGAGACCTAGCCAGGACTCTCACTATCTAGTAAGATTTATTTTTCTGTTGCTACTTAAGTACTGGAGTTGAGTGACTCCAAAGACTCATTATCAGTTAATGATAAAGATATTTTAGACTTGGTTTCGATATTTGTTCTCAGTCTGGAGGATCTGTCCTTCAAAAAATATTGTACTTCAAAAGGTAGAGTGATAAACACCTTCTTAGAGTTATGACCTGGGCCAGAGGTAATTATTAATTCTAATAATGCTGTAGGTTTTTTGTAAGCTCCAGGAAGGTTAGTATGATCATACCACCAGTACATGGAAGTACAACCAGCAGCTTCAGGGACATTTGTCTGGCCTTTGCTGCCTTCTCTGCTGAATACAGAGCATGTGGAGATGGTTCACATTTTGGGACTAAATCCATCAAAAGACAAAAGACACTGCATGTTGAGCTCGCAGTTAGTCCTGTCCTTCCCATCACAGAAATCTTTGAGAAAGGTCAATCCCTCAGGAAAACCAAATTCTGTGCCTAGCAAGGACTCTTTGATATTTCTGAGGAAGCAGTTCTGAACCATATATGGTTTCAGGCCAGCTGGAAAACTATTTTCTGAACATAACCATGACCTGAGTTTTCCTGGTATTTTCTAAGTACAACTTTGTGGGAACCTCTCTGCCACATCTAGATCCTGCCTCTGGTGTCTTCACCCAAGGCACCTCCAGAACTAGCATCCCAAATCTGAAGAGTGCAGGACAAAGCCTGTTGTCTCAATGAACACCATTAATACAGATACTGTACAGCTCATGACTGTTGGAGAACTTGCCTTACAGCCATGCATTTTTTTTGATGTATTTATTTATGAAGAATGTACAGGTTGCCCAAAGATTTTCTACTTACCTGATATAAACCTCAACAGGTTTCTGTGGGCAAATATTGAAGAAGGAAAAGAAAAAAAGTTTAGCATCTGTATTTTTACGTTTTGCTCCCTGATTGAGGTTAGTTTTAATCTTTTCAATGTGTGCTCCAGTATTTTACTGAGCTTGTCTTTTAGTGAGATTATTCAGAAATAAGCTATTAGATTTTCCAGTTCCTATGCCACCTTCATCTCCCTGGTAATGTTCATGGGTAGAGAAGCCTTAACATCCATTACAAAGGCAAACCATTCAGCCCACAAGACTGAATACAGTCCCAGTAAAAAAATTATCCTTCCTTGATATTATAAAGTGCTGCTTTCTGTAACTCCTTGTAGGAGGCTGTATCACACAATCAGAGCAAAGCCATGCCATTGAAATGGGCATGTTGACAACTTGAAATAAGGATAAAACCTGCAACTACTCCACTTAAAAATAATGCAGTTTGGAGTTTGTAGGCATTACTTCTACTCCAGAGTACACATGGCAGCTCACTACATGGTTAGTCAAAAAGGCATTTGCTTTGTGCTGGAACAAGGTGTTGCATGGACAGAGCAGCACGGTTCCCTCAGGATGGCATGGACCTGCTCCTTGCTAACTGCAGCACTGGGATCTGCCATGAAACTCATCGCTGAGTAGGGGTCATCCCAGACAGAGGTCAGCAAGATGAATTTGATTCAAAACTAAAGAAGAAGCAACCTTGTGCTCCTGATGTGTCCTTCCTCACCTTTGTTCTGCAGGTCACCCGTGGTCCTGGTGAGTTGTCCACAGACTTGTGCTTGAGAGATAACTAAACTGCAGCACATCAGCCATCAAGTGAAGAAAAATAAAAAACCAAACCAAAACAACTGAAGAGCAAATTTTCTGCAGCCCTTGCTGTGCAATCATAACTTTTCCATAAGCTGGAGCCCAGCACCAAGAACATGATTTTACAGTAGAAAAAACTATGGTCCCCAGCAGACAATATCAGCATGTGATGACCCAGCAAAGAAAGTGGAGCTGAGTCGGTGTATCATTCACCTGCCCAGGTATTTGTCTCTGGTTCTCCAGCTCAGCATCTGCAGCGTTTTGGGAGGCAGGTTCAATGTGCTGGCTGCTGCAGCCCTCTCATGGCCACACAGACCCAACCGTGCTCCTGCCTGCCAGCAGCTGGGAAAACATCTATCAAAATTCTGTGTGGGAGAACAGCATGCTTTAAAAACACAACAAATAGTTATTCAATAGCATATTCATCCCAGAATAAATATATAAATAAATGGAGTTGACACTTAGGATATTTATTCCAGGCGTACAAGCAGAGTCGTTGTTAAATTACTTGCTTTTCAAGAATCAAAAGAAAAATTACAGATAAAGCATTAAGCAGTCAGATTTTTAATGGAGTGCCCTGTTTCATCTCCCTAGGCTGTCACTAAACAGTCTGCTTTGAAGTGCTCCTTTCTTTTGAGCATTTTCCGCATTGATTTACAGTGGTGTGGGTTTTGCTCATGGGTTTTGCTGAGTATCTGCTTACTGGAAACATGTCTACCTGCTCAGGGAACTCCAAGGAGGGGTGAAAGCCTAAGTGCTGCTTGGGTTGGGGAAAAACTCAGGGAACATGGACTGTTCCAAATTTCTGCAAATACAAACAGGTAGATGATTCTTTGTAGCTTGAAAAGCAAGTCTGGCTCTTGGTATATTTTGGTTTTCATTTTTATCTGCCAGAGAGAGACCGAGACATCACTAACACATGGAAATAAACCACAGGAATCAATAATGAAAGGAGAACATTGATGGGAGCAGTGCTGAGATCCTGTCCAACAGCCCAGCCCTACACTCCCTGCCCAGTGCTGTCAGTGAACACAGTCAAAGGAGCTACCTATAGAATAAAAAATAAAATGGATCAAAATGAAAAGCTTGTTGCATAGGTATGGGGTACTCTGGAGGAGGTTGTCCAGTTTTGATTGATGTTTCTTAGACTGACAGCAACAGTACTTACAGACCAGGGTGCCACAGTCCTGCCAGATGGATGATGTTACACTATCATTTTTCCATTGCTTTCCTCTTTTTTTTTTTTTTTTTTTTTTTCCCTTATAGTAGTTTCAGAGGAAATATCTGCAGGAGAAATGGCTGTATTTCAAAAAGATATGAAAAAACCCCTAACCAAAACTTTTTAAAAAACCCAAAACCAAACAAAATAAACCCACCAAAGCATGAAGTGGAGACTTTATGAGACTTTAGTGGTGGAGTCAGGGGAGCTTCACAAAGTGGAGACTTTTTTCCCTTTTCAGGTGGGAGCACTGCTACCTCCAGGCAGATGACAATGTGTAGGGTGGGGTAGGTTTAGTGGGATCAGCAGGACTCTGGGTGAAAATGACATCTAATATTTTGCAAGCCAGTGTGCCAACCCATGTGTTCGTGATGCTGGAACCAGCCTTTCGATCAATACCAGGCATCAATAAGACACTGGCATCTGCAGCCCCTGGACTCAGCCTGGGCAGGGGTGGGTACACCTTGGAGCTAGGGGCGCTTCGCAAAGTTTCCATTTCACCCACTACCAAAAATGCCCCCTCACCACCACCACACAAACCCAACACAACAGCATTTTGCTTTTTTTTTTTTCTTGTTTTTAACTAAATACCCTCTTCACTCTGCATTTTCTATAAGCCCACACATACAGAACGAGATGTGACTTTTTTTTGGTTTAAAGTGTCTTTTATTTTATATGGAGAAAAACAGTAGTAAGAAAGTAACAAAATTAATATCTGCCTGAAAGAGCACAGGGCAAGTATCATCCTGTGATCCAAAAAGTTCTCCAGACAAAAAAGCTGATAAATTTTTAAGACATGTCTATATTGCAGGATGCTGAGACGCTTGGGGCAGTAAATACCTACGCTGATAAAACCATGTGAAATAGCCTAGCACAGAGCAACTTACAGCTTAGGTCTAGGTGCAGTGAGGCACATTACTTGGGTGCAAAGCAGCGAGGACACCTTGCTGGTTTTGTCCTGGCACAGCTGGAAGCAGTGGGTCTGTACGCAGCCAGTACGGCTGCAAAGCAGCACCTGGTCATATAGACAAGTCTTTAGGTTTGTAAACGTACTGGCTATGTAGAAAAGTGGAAATCCCAGTGTCAAAAGCATAGACAGGATGCACACTGTTAAAAAAATCAAGTCCACGTAGGCTCTTAGTGAGATGGAGTTCTCCACTTTCTGGAAAATGTTCTCCTAGGGCTGAACTAAATAGCCAGGTTGAAATCTTGGCCCCGTTGATCTCAGCGGGACAAAGAGCTCATCCCCAGCATTGCAGGCAGCTCTGCTGAGCCCGGATGGGAATGGGAACCTGCAGCTCAGCCCCATTTTCTTGCCTTCTTACTTGTGATTTACCTTCTTTCCATGCTACGCCCTTCTGTGACTGCATTGCCCTCACACCCACCCTAACTTGCCTTATGCAGTTGGTCCGGACTCTAGGATTCAACCACAATCATACTCAAGTTGTTGCTGAAGATGATCCTCCCATCCTTTTTGCTGCTGCACTCGGGCTGGCAAAGAGCCTCCTGCAGCCGCTGCCGCAGCCCCGGTGGGGCCGTGCCCAGGAAGTTTTTTGTCCCCGTCAGGAAATCCACCATGCGGCCTCCAACTGGGTCCCCCTCGATAAAGCACTCGGTGATATCCCAGCCTGACGGGAACTCATAAACGCGATATTCAACACCGAGTCTCTTCAAAACATCCGTGATGCCATTGGAGGTGATGTAGTGGCCACTGTCGGTGGAAGGCAAGCAGTGTCTGTACTTCTTCCATAGGCTGGCCCATCCACTACTGTCTGCCAGAGCAGAAGGGAAGGTTACTTTTGCAAAGCAGAGGCAGTCAAACACCAGCTAATGCAACTACTAAATGAGTTTGAAATGCTCCCTGGCTTCTGGCTGAGACCTTGCCAGAAGCAAAAGACCTTTCCTCTTGCCTGAGTCCATTATAAATGTCTGTGCTTGGAGAGGGGTAAAATTGTGATCTTCATCAGCCCTCCTTCCAAAACTCTCCCATTTAAAGGAAACTCCTGGGAGACAGTCTCCGGCACTGGATTTGCCCGAGAACAGTACACACAGAGGTACCACTGCACTGAGTCCGCACACGCATACTGCCTATTAAGTGCCCCTTTGCTAAAATAGTGCAGATGGTTTTGTACATCAAACCTCAATTTTAAGTGCACAACATAGAATATACCTGAAAAAGACAGTCCCAGCTGGCAACATGCGAGAGAGTTTTAATGGAAAACACAGGGAAGTGTGCTCTGTTCACCGCACCGTGAGCCATGGATTCATGAATGGCACACTGGAAAAAATACTTTTTTTTTTTTTTTTAAATAAGTGCCATGATGTCCTAAGTGCCTCTTTTTCCTGTCCTGCCATAAAGCCCACAGCTCTTGGCAGCATCCCTTGTCCTGCTGGGATCTGGGCCATCGCTGTGCCGAGGGAAGAGCCCCAAAGCTGGGTCCTCCCAGAGCTCAAGTTGTGTTTTCACAGTGCTGATTTCACCATGAAGAAGGATTGATCCCTCATTCATGAATATCCACACTTTTCTCTAGACAGTAATTTCACAACAGGTCTCTGAGGTATAGTGATTCATCTACTGCGTAAGCAGGGAAGCAAGAGCATGAAGACTGTGCCTAGAGTGGTCTCATCAGACATTGGAGTCCAAGAGGTTAAGCCCAAGATTGCATACTCCCTATGAAATACAGCATTTATTTTATTTAATTACTATATAATAAGCACTTCTGAAATCCTGAGACAAATATTTGGGGCTCTCAAACTTCAAAGCTCTTCAAAACACCAGCAATTAAACAAAAAATAAAAGGTCCCTCTTACCTGATAAAATTATGATCAGGAGTTTACCATGATGGTCGAGGCAGCTGTGGAAAAACTTGATAGTATTGAGAATATCCTCCACACGGTACAGCATCTGGAAATGAGTTAGACACAACCATTATTGCTCCTCCACAGTGCAATGGCCCTTCAAAGGCCTAAACCCTTTCTCTATAGAGTTGTTTTAAATTACTTCCCAGTTGCTTCCCAGCCTGTCCTGACTGAGCAAGCACATTTAGGGGTGTCCCACAGGACTGAGCATCACCAGGTCTTCACCAGCACCAACAGCCTGGGGTCAGACCCAGGGACCCTCTGCTCAGCCTCGGCCACCAGCCAGATGCTGACCTGCCCATCACTGCCCTTCAAGCCCAGGGCAGTTTTGTGGTTGGAAAATACGTGCAGGGTTGGAGTTCCTTATCACCAGGGACATCTCTCAGCTGTGTTTGGGCCATGGGCAGGCTGGATCTCTTCCAGACACTGAGGAATTTGGACTGGGACAAAGCAGGGCTCATCTTAAAGGCTGCCCTTGGGACTTGTAACTTAGTCCTTGACCCAGAATCAAACCTCTGAAACACTTTCTGGTTGTGAAATCAGTTCTTATGAAATGAAAGCAAAATGAAATAAAATTAAAATAAAATAAAAGCCACTAAAGTGAGAGAATAACAGATTTTTTTTACAAAATATAATTGGCACATACAACATCAGTGTCATCAGTATCAGAGACACAGCAGCATAATTTCTGATCCAAAACCTCTCACAGGTGTTCATTCACTAACTTTTCCCTTCAGTGCCAACCAGACCACTCTGAGAAGGGAAAAAAGTAAATTGCTGGACTCTATGTGACAGCCTGAGACTTATACTGTGTTTCATTACCCACTATACACAGTTAAACCAGTACAAGCTAGAGACCAAAACCAGGGTGGATAGGGAATAAAGTTTGATGTTTGTAGAGCTGACGCTGCTGCAGAATTTATTGCTCATGGGAGAACTGTGCTCAGCCCTCATCCCTCTAAATTCATGCATACAGCAGAGATGAAGGAAGCAGTCAAAGCTGATACTCCTACACTAAAGCAATATTCCATTACCTGGATCATATGGATGAAGTCAAATTTCTTGTGTGCGCCTTTCTCTTTCACCTGTTGTTCATACTCCAAGGAAGTGAGCTGGTGCCAAATAAAAGAGACATTCTGCAGGTCTGGAGCTTGATTCACCAACTCTGTTTTAAAAAGTAGAAGAAAAACATGAATTTCATCAGACAGTAGAAAAACCCATCATTCAAATCGACAGTCCTCACTATACCCCAGGCAGCAGGTAGACCCTTACCTTTGTAAGCTGCCACGTGCTGCGGGTTGGGCTCTATGATTTCGTTGTCAATAAAGACCCCTGGGTGTGCAGCCTGCAGTATCCTGATCATTTTCAAATCCTGCTCACCTGTTCAATAAACACAAATACATTACATTCAAAAGTACATAAACGTGATGAAATGATGCCGGCGCACCTGCCACCTCTGCTGCCTGGAAATCACTCACCCAGGAGCGAGGCACTTTCTACTTTATGGTTTGCATGGTGGCACCTAACCTGGTGACAGTCTCACCATGAAATCTCACTGCTTGAGGTAGCACATAGTTACAGATAAGACTAAGAACAAGGAAGACATAAGCAACAGCGCAGAAACCTGCTAATGGCAATACTCTGTGATGAACAGGTCAAAATAATCAAAGATAAATGTTTAAAAAACCAACCAGGAAGCATTAGTTTTCAACAAAAAGACCAAGTCTGAATGGGTATAAGGAGGCAGTTGGCACTGCTGTGCAACTTCAGCATGGCACAGGGTGGTCCGTGCCTTTGGCACTGCTCCAGGGAGGCAGTGGCCACTCTGCTGCTGGCGAGACACAGTTCCAAGACCCAGGGATCTGTGTGACAAAAGGAAAGGCCCATTGACATGCAGTACCCTGGATCTTCCCTCTTTGGGGACCAGCTATGTGATCTAAGCTCTGCGTGTTGACTAACGTTATCTTGGAGTTGCAAATAGAGACCTGCATATTTGTGTGAGGGTGCCCTGAAAATTTAGCTATTGGTGCTTCTTTGTTACTGCCTGAGCTCTGGAAGAGCAAGTGGCAGTCTGTCCCTCTGTCCTAGGAAATTTCCAGCCTCTTTTGAGGAGACGCAGGTCACTCTTGTTTTCTCCCAGAAAGGCCACAATACTCCAAGTGTGCAAAGTCCATCTGTTTCATCTGGGACTACGGAAATAAACTGCAGAGGTGACCACCTTGAGTGGATTTCTGCAAGAATCCTGTCTGTAGCTGATGGTGGGGCCTAAAAATAGCCCTGCCCTTGCAAATGTCACACACAGAGGTCTTGATACGAGATACTGCATCTTCCCTGGCCCTTCAGCTGATGTACCAGCTATGAGAAAAGTCGTCATCTTTGGCAGGTGTGGCAGTAAATAGAATTCAAGGAGGGAAGTATCAGCCATGCCAGCACTGATACTGAAGCTGATACTTCCAAGGAAGGAACAGTCTTTTGAAATTGGAGAAAAATACCCAAGACCCCTGAGGAATGCAGTGGCAGTGGTGCAGGGCTGGCCAAGGAAGGAGGAGAGGAAAGGAAAGGAGGAAAGGGAAGAGGCTGCAACTGCATCTGTTGAAGGAGGGTGCGTGGACCAATATTCCTGACAGGAAGGAAGATCTCTATAGTAAGCAGCTGGATCACTTTAGACATTCCTAAATGCCAGTTAGGATGTGCCTGGGGTGGGGAACACCAGCAATTAGAAGTGTTGACGTGGGATCCCCACTGGCTCAGGGCAGATAGAAGGCAGAGCATCACTGCCCCATGCCCTGGAGACACTGATGGTGGCAATTGAGTATATCAACAGCTAATGGCTATCTTAAAAGCTGTTTAGGTTTGTTTGGGGCTTTTTTACTCAATCTCTGTGAAGTGCCCTAATTCAGTGTTGGCAAGAGCAGACAATAGTGTCTTCAACTGGGGTGCCTACAAAAACGCAGTAAAATACAATGCTTTAGAGCAGGAAGTTGTCTGCTCCAGCTTGCCCTGCCAGCAACAACCTTTCAACAGTAACCACAGCAAGATACTCCAGAAACAGGAGTGAAACCCCTCTGCAAACAGCAGCCCACCCTGGCACTGACTGGGAGATTACAGTCAAGATAGCTAAACCAGCCACAGGAAAACATGGAGTGAATGAGAAGATGGTGGTGTGGACTGGAATGAGAAGATGTGATGTGTCTTTTAGGATGTGGAGTAGGTCACTAATCCCTGTTAATATTTTCGTCAACTAAATTAATTCTGGGGGCTCTGTGAAATCCGAGTCCAACCCTGGAAAGGTCAGGGATCAGCTATAACCTTTTGCTCAATGCCATCCTAGCTTGCTCCCTGCAGAAATTCAGCTCTTGCAGGCGTGGGCAAACTGAGGAGGTGCAAGGCTGTGAGGGGCAGCTACCCAGGAAATTTTAGGGTTTTTATTTTTCCATTAAAACACCTTCTGAAGAGGAAATAAGAAAAAATGGGAACGATGCAAAAAGTTCATTTTTCCCCTGTGTTTCCTTGGAGTCAGAATTTTGGTTTTATATTACTTAATGAAAATGGAGTGTAATGGAGGATGGAATGATTTCTTCCTTCTCACTTTCTCATATGCTCCAACATATTCCCAATTGGGAAAAACAATTCTATGCTGCTTTTCTCTTGCTCAGGAAAACAAGCAAAAAAAAAAAAAAACCTGAGAAAAAATACTTTCATTTAAAAGTATTACACTTAAAATTTAGCTGAAAATACTTTTTAAAGCAAAAGCAAACTCTGACAAATCAAACCGCCACTTCTTTTCTCTACTTTTTATTTTCTCCCAGTTTCCCTAGGAACAAAGTTGAATGTTTCATCACTTTTTTCTTTTTCTTTTTTTTTTTTTTTTTTTTAAACACAAATGCATTTAGAAGAGCTTTAAAGCCATTTTTCCAAAAGATTGTTTCTCTCTGGGGGGAAATATCATTTGCAGTTAAACCTTGTTTATCACTGGATAAAAACACAGTAGTTACAAAGAAACACGTCTTGAAAAAGTTGATGAGGCCTCATACTAATGCTTGTGGCCAGGTTTTGCACCACCTGGAGCAGAGCATCACCCAACTTTGGCCTCTGGGTTACCTAAATGCACAGAAAATTAGAGATCCTTTCAGGTGGGACAGTCTAAGACAGGACTTCGAGTGGAATGAACCTCTCAGATGTCTCTCACTCTCTCCAACAAGGTTTGAAGATGCTGTCATACCTAACCTGGAGCAGGACTCCTTGCTTTGAGACAGGTGAGAGTTAAAATCATCGTACTCATCTCACTTGGACAGCTTGGAGCAGCAGCATTTCTGAAGGGAGGTGGGGAAGGAAGGGATGGGGTATCGCTCTCATCCCAGCTCCACATCCCATTTTGCCATTCTCTGCTTCAATGAGAAACACTGTTATAAATGCCTGAGAAGTTATTGCCATTGTTCAAAATTTCAGCATCACCTTCTGCTGCCTGTAGAGACACCCTGTGCCCCAGCATCAGCAGTGCTGCCAAGCTCCTTACCTGTGCCACTTCCAACTCCCAGGACATTTATCATCGATTTTCCATTGCCGAGACTGAAATGATAAGTACACATTATTTCACCATGATATGTCACACAACTTCATGTTTTAATTCTAATATCTTGGATGCCACATTGGCCTGGAAATTTAAGTGAGCTTTGCTACGTGCATTGGGATAGAAATTTGAGCATCCCTTTGCAGCTCAGCTATAACCAGCTGTGTGGTGGGAGCCAGCCCCATATTAGCAAGTTCATGTTTCAAAGTACAGTAGGCATCAGGATATAGTGTTTCTCATCCTTTGCCAGAGAGTTTTCTTCAAGCTATGGTTGGCACTAAGCAAAAAGGTCTCCGGGGAACCCCAGGGTGAAGGGTTCCCTTTGTGGACAGCAGGGCTGTGCCTGGATGGGATGGACACCGCTCCCCAGCCAGGGCTGCAGGGACAAGGTGAAACAGGGAGAAACCTCCACACCCTCAGGAGATAAGTTTGGCTTTCCAATATTGGATATAAATGCCCAGAAAAATTAAAAAATCAGACTATCCAGATGACTGGAAATCCTCCTTTTTCAATATTCATCTTGATTTGAAACTGGGAGGAAAGATCAACATCTTCAATAATTTTTGCCTTAGAAAAATTACTTCTGAAAAGATCTGAAAAAACCCACCCAACATTTAAATTCTTAGCAGAATATTTAGTAACAACCTGACTTGAGGATGAGGAGTCCAGGCTCTGACATGCTTAATGGCCTTATTCTGGTCTTGGGCGTAGACTGTGCAGAGGGATTGAGTTTCACATGCACATGAAACATGTCAGGAGACACCACAGCAATGACTCAATAAGAGAGGAGATAGTAAATCCTGGAGAGTGTGACCTAGTCAAGGAGCCCTAGCCCTAATGAGAGTCAAGACCCTTTGACAGAACCACAATCAACATCATAGGAAGCTGCAATGTTTTGCATTTTTCAAAATTCACCTAAGTAAATTCTTCATTTCAGATTTCTGAGTACAAATTATTTTTAATTATTATTTCTATTGCTTATTTTTTAATATATATCTGGTCTGGAGTTACCTGCCTAAATTTTTTTTCTCAATGGGGAATACAGTTTCCGTAACATTCAAAAATTGCCCAAACCTGAAAGATCTTTCTTGTGGTTTGGATCTAGGCTGCTCTAAATCTTATCTGCAGTCATCCAGGTTTACTATATTACATCAATACTCCACAAAACTGATTATCATTTGGTACTTAAGCAATGCAAATCGACTTAGGATAGAAATAAGGAGGTCTTAGGGGATTGAGAAAACCAGGAATTAGTCACTAGAAGAGAATTAGAAATGTGTTTCTGTTTGGACTGATGTGTGATGAAGTCCCAAAAGCAGGGAACGAGAGCATAAGAGAGAGCTTTCTTTTGGAAAAAACAAACAAACAAACAAACAAACAAAAAAAAGCATACAACAAAAATACTTTAAACATTAGAAAATCAGCTAATGAAAAGAGATGGACATGAAAATGAAGTCTTGATTATTTCTTTAACGTAAGCATAGAGGCAGTGCAGTGTATTAGTTGAAATAACATGTATTCTAGAGTTATGAAGCAGAATATTCTACAGACCACCATTAAGAGATTTAAAACCAGAAACCATTAAAAGTTCATTCATGTCCCAAAAAAATCCCTAAACATGTTTGCTGACCCTTCTGCGCAGATTGCCCTCCCAAGATAACAGATGGCTTTCCCACATTGGTGGAAGTGCTCCTTACCTAGCCATGATGTTGGGCATTTCTTCCTTGTTGAACTCATCCATGCATTGGTGTTCTGTTGAATGATCCAAAAATGTCTTAAAGGCCTCTGCGTACTCCTCAGCAGTGAGACTTCTCATGGAAGGGGCCACATATAGCTCTTAAGAAACAAATACATATTGTGTGTTAGTGGCTTCAAGGCAAATGAAGGATCAAAGCACTTACCTTGTGGAAGAAACCCAACCCAACTGAAGCCAGAGATTCGGGAAGATGGTAAGGAGGATGTGTGGCCCAGGAGCCATGCAAACATGTGAGCTCATGTGAATACTTTCCAACCTGTTCATACTCAGGGTTTGTAAAGTATTCTTAGATGCTCTTTGACACCACCATATTTGTTAAGTGCTTCACTACTGCAGGTCAGCCTGAGGAAAATGTCTCCAAAATGCTCAGCCAGATATGGGGTACTCAGTTTGCAGAAAGGAAGGTAACTGGAGAGTTTTTCTAGAAGACTCAAGGCAGGAAGGTGAAGAGCATCGCACAGCAGATCCAACCCTGGAGGGTCTGTCACTCTCGCATGTGCAGGACAGCATAACTGAAATCACCAGCTGCTGGCACACTGGCTGTTAGAGGTGATGCAACACAAAAACTGCCTCCTGCACCTGAAGTAAAAATAGTCACCCTGTGCACCTCATTTCTGACTCTCGCTGGTGTGGGACTACGGTGTTCTGCTGGGAAGGTGAATTCTCCACCGGGAACTGCAGCTCGTGGCCAGGAGGGCAACTGATAGCAAAAGTAATTAATCTGAATGGGCTCATGCTCAAACGTGGATGGTCAAGACCAAGGTCTCTAGCTCTGAACCAGCAGTCATATCTACTCAAGGGGTTGCAAGCAATTATTGCAAAAAATCACATTCCTGTTGTCTCATCCTACTGCCAGTGCTGCTGCCAGGGCACAAGCTCTGGCCAACTGCTTGGGTCTGTGGAGCAATGATAAGACTAAGACTTGAGGCTCATGAGAAGATGCCATTCAGCTGAGTACTGGCCCCGAGGTCTATCTCAGAGGGCTGCAGTAGGAAGGCAGTCACAGTGTCAGTCTCAACATGTGAGATCAGCATTGGAAAGGTAGTGTTCAATAGAAAAAAATCAGCTTTCCCTCCTAAAAGAAATGAGGATGAAGGACAGGACTTAGCAGAACATCTTCATCCTCATTTTTGCCTTTTCAGGAGCTGCTTATTTATCATCTGCTTTTAGTTGCCACTAAGAAAACTTCATATGTCTTATACAGGACTGTGCAATTTTAAACTGGATGCCTGTGCCTTTTCCAAAACCTCATGTCATTGGCAGCTGTGTTTCTGGTAGGTATGTATGGAGACCTTATCTCCAACCTTATTGGAGGTAAAGAGATCAGCATCTATCCTCAACTCTTTTAACTATACCCTAACATAAACCTTAAATCACCTGAATTGCAATCAGTTTAGCATTTTTTTTTTTAACCATCTCTAACTCCAAAAGAATTCAAACATGTTTGCAGTGTTAGCAAGCTGAGTGGGCATTTTACTTTAATCTCCTTTTTTATTTTTTCTCCCAAATACCTGAATTATCGTGTGGAGCTGTCAGAATCTCTGCTTCAAAGTTCATGCTGGGGAACCTATTCCTGTAAGGAAAGTATAGCACTTCAGTTATTTGAAGAACCTGTATGCTTTTTTGAAGCTGCATTGAAATGCAGAACAAAAAGAAGATGCTCCAGGACAAGTGCTCCATGCCTGGTGAGCAATACTGTTTGTTCTCTTTCACTAGAATAATGAAATTCACAACTTCTTAGTTAGCTGATCACCCATAAGTATCAGCAATGGACTGGCCACCTGAACCAGTGCTTGTCTGAGATGTCTTGTGGAAGTTTTTCCTCCCTCTGAAGAATCATTAACCAGTCAATACAGAGGAAGGCATTAGACTAAATTATATTGCACACTCTGTGGAACCTTTCATCATGAATGGAATATAAGAAATAGCAGTGACATTAGGAAAAGGCTATAGTGAGCTTCACCATCTGAAGTGCTAAGAGATCTGCTTGGCCCAATGGTTCTGGAACCTTTTTGCTTTGATTTTTTTCTCCTGGCTGCAAATATTACATTGGGTAACTTATAGAAGGCACAGGACTCAAAGAGCCAAAGTCAAAGAGGTCATTTGACCATAAACATTTTCATTCAGTCATCTGTTTTCATTCTTAGTTTAGGGGGGGAATGTGAAGATTTCCAGCAATGAAGTCACCCCTTCATTTTCCTTTGACATCTCTCATCTGCAAAATATGGATGACATGACAGTAGTAAGAGGAAGGTATGAAATTAAATTGGAGCAAGGATCTCACTTCTGCAATGAAAGTGTTGGGGTGAGGCTGCCTATGCAAGGGGAATAGTCATCTGCCGGGTAACCACATTTCAATATCGAGATGCACAGCAAGTCTTAGGGGTGATATTTCTCTATAACCCAGGTTTAGACACGTTGCTGCTCCCAAAGCCCTGCTATTAGAAAACACTTCATGACAAGCAGTCTGCAACAGCAGTAAGCAGCCCCCAAGTCTCCTCTGCCAGGGAGAAAGATTCTGCATGAATGAGAAACAAGCCAAGAGGTGGAAAAGAAAAAAGGGAGTCTCGTAGTAGGGCTTTGTGATGTAACACCTAATGACAGTGCTAGCAGGTAGAAAGGAAGTGGTCACATGTGCAAACAGCACACTGCTTCGGTTGATGAAGGCAAGAAAAGACTAAGGTGAACCAGAAGTCTCAGAGGTGCTGGAGTGCTGCCAGAGTTCTGCAAGACCAGTTGATCTCATCTGAGTTTACTGCCAAAGTCACGTACCTGGCTCCCATGAGGTGCGTCAAAGGTCTCAGTTCCACCACCTTGACCTCACCTCCCCCCAGAAAAAAATCTCACAGAAATTCAGCAAACAAGCCTGAACTCAGCCCACCTCCATAAGCCTCAGCTTGGCTGCAGGCCAGTGCCTCCAATTTCTACTCAACCCTCTGACCTCTTCCATCTCTGCCTGTCAAAACAGAGGACTATTTTGCCCTCTCAGTTGGCTGAACTGAGCAAGATGATTTTCAGAATAAATCTCCCAGTAAATGTTGAGGTGTAGCATGGCTTCCGCCGTGCAGAGAGGAACAGCTCTCAGGGTCTGGGGACATGAACTCCATTTCTGACCGGTCAAACGTTTCCAGTCATCCCAGAAGACCTGCCAGGTGACCTGGACAGACTGTGGCACAAGAATTCACTGGGATGGATGATGCCAAGACAAGTCTTCCACCGAGACTTTTGCCATTTCTTGCCCAGGCAGGGTTTCTAAGACTGATTAACCCTTGTTGCTGGGAAGGTGAAAAAGGTTTATTCATCACTGGGAACAAATGAGCTTCCTCTAAAATCTTGCTTAAAATCTAGCCTAGATCTGAAAATTGACTAGAATGCTATGGGCTGATGCTGCCCATCCCAAGACCCTGACACCCAAACACAGGACAGAAGCAGTGACTGCCAGGGAGTGGGATGGGATGCTCATGGGCAGCTGGTCCTGCTGCAGATCCTGGTTAAGTCAGAGCTTGCTGTGAGCAAGGTTAAACCTCTCCCCCTCCATGAAATGAGCATTATGGACTGCAGATGCAAGGCACCGGCTGAATCCACAGCGTCACTTTAAGTGATACAAAACCTTTAAGTTGAAAAAGTCATTACATTCAATTACATTCAATTCAACTATATTCAAGATGTTTCTAGCAACACAAATTGTAACGTTTTCATAACTCATCATTTCATTGCATCTAAAATTAAGAAGTGCCAAGGTCATCCTGCTCTGGCAGGGGGGTTGGACTAGATGATCTTCAGAGGTCACTTCCAACCCTGACCATTCTGTGATTCTGTAACTTGGTGAACTTAGGGGCTAAAGGTCTCCTCACAAAGGTTTGATGAACCCCATCCCTCCCAAGACATGGACACATTTGCTGTTACTCCCACCTTGCACACATCCATCCATGACAAGGGACAGCAGAGGCTGGCTCTGCCACCCAGCCAGATGGTGGGGAAACACACACCCTCACTCCTTTCCAAAATCCACGTACCTCTTCATCTCTGGGGCTGGATCCATGGTTGGGATGGGTGTGGTGCCGGGACACTGCCACTGGGCACGGGGCTGTGGGGTGAGCCAGGCACCTGACCCCTATGTTAGCATGTCCACCTGCAGCCCCGCTCCACGCCGGCCGCT